AATTTATAAGGCCAGTAAACGCCATCAGCGCAAGCGTTTTCCACATCAGCGCATGCGTCCGAATTGTTTCGGAACTGATCTGCGCTGATGCTGCTTCGTGTCCCGCAGCAGGGGCAATGTGGCAGCAGTATTATAAACGCCATCAGCGCAAGCGTTTTCCACATCAGCGCACGAGTGCATAATATATGCGCAGCGTATACGCAGCGTATATATTGATATACACGCAGCGTATACGCAGCAGCGTATGCAAATCACGGCGTCGAATATACGCTCGTTTAGATTGTGTGCGCAAGTGCGCAAGACACGCCTTTGGATCCTCACGGCAGTAGCCATGATGCTCTTGGTTTACCCGGACGTCTGTATTCAAGTCTAGGTCTATTTGAATATGGATCCAACAAGACTTGCTTCATGGGGTCTTTCGAATCAGTTCTTAATATGTGTCCCAGTAGTCTTACCTTTCTTGTCATCCATGTTAGGGAAAACTTTTCAACGAGGTGGTGGTGATTAGTCTTCAGGATGTCTAACACTTTCTGATTCGTGTAACTACGGTCGATAAAAGTGGGAGGGATCTTTAGGATGCGGCGAAGTCCTTTCATCTGAAATGCATTAAGTTTATTTAGATCAGACTGCGTGAGCTGTATGCATTCAAGCCCATATAGCACTTTGCTTTTCAAAACTGAATCGAACACCCTTAGCTTCCATTTGACTGTGTTTTGAGCCTTGTTCCAAAAAAAGTTTTGGTCTGTTGCATGCGACAGTGGCATCTGCAATGCGATTACAAACCTCTCGGTGATTATCTACGGTGTCTGTCAATAATGAACCTAAATATGTGGCTTCATGTTTGCGTGGAACAAGTGCCCCATCCATATATTTAACACTGGATATTCCTTGATTCAGGGTAAGGTTAATGCATTTGTCGTAATTCAAGCTCATGTTATAATACCTGGATTCGGCTTGAATTGCGTGTAACAGCTTGTTTATTGTATGCGTATGGGTTCCAAAAATTAGTGTGTCGTCTGTGTATAAAATTTCTGCGAATTCTATCCCAGGTAAAGGTTCTCTTTGCTTTGGAGTGTTTAACTTGGTTTTAATCTCTTTGAACATTGCAGACATTAGTAATGATAACCTTAACCTACTCAATCCTAAATCCTAAACCTGAACCCTGAACCCCAAGCCCTGTGTCAGGGGAGGGCCGTTGAGTTCGGGATTGGCGGGTCCGCTTTTGAAGCGCTGCTTACGCTTGGTGCTTACAGAACCCTAAACCCTAAACCATATGCGCAGTGCATATTTGACCTTCTTGCTCAGCGGGCGCAGCCCTGAATTTCTTGTCACGTGTTCTGCCTGTTCTGAGCTGGCGTCCGTCCTTTTCATACTCGTCACAATGCCAACACTGCAGGGCAGGCCATGGCTAGTTGGTGCATGCGCCCTGGATGATGACCAAACAACCAAAAAAAGAGCCTGTGCTCGGAAGCATCAATAGCCCCAATCCTTCAATCCGGATGAAAAACCGCACAGCCCTCCATGTGCTTTCATAAGTGTCTCATTCTTGTGCTTGGCACGCTGCAGCAGCTGAAAGAGCACGTGACCCTGCCGCTTCTTGTGTCGGGATAGTAGTAGGGCGTTTCATGTGGGGCTTCGTGAGTAGGTGTACAGCTCAATGGTTAGGGGTGTTGGTTGGGGCGCACTGCCTAGGACAGCAAAGACCACTCCTGTCGGCCCGTACCTTTTGCGGATCTCTTCAGCGCGGAACCAGAACTAAGCCGCGGGAGACTCTTTCATCGGACATTGGGGCAGGCTTGGGTGGTGGCTTGAGGGCTTCGGGTACTTCCCAAAAGGCATCATTGAACACTTACAAAGCCCTTATCAACCCCCTTGTAAACCCCCTTGCAAAGCCCTTGTAAACTTCTGAACCCTAACCCTAAACCCTAAACCCTAAACCCTAAACCCTAAACCCTAAACCCTAAACCCTAAACCCTAGTGAGCCCGTGCCTCGTCCTGGCTCCATTCCTCAAACCGGCGCACAGTCAACTCACGCGCCGCCGCCGCGCGCTCCTTGTTCACAAGGAGCATCGGCCTTCAATCCAGTAGGGTTTAGGGTTCAGGGTTTAGGGTTTAGGGTTTAGGGTTTAGGGTTTAGGGTTTAGGGTTCAGGGTTTAGGGTTTAGGGGCATAACAATTCGAACAGAGTGTTGGGATATACAACAGCCTAGGTATCCTAAAAGGAACCGCCGGAGTAGTGGCGCTAATTATCCCACCGCCTGTATTACGATTCAGAAAGGACTGTTGCGTGGGATGGAAACTTTTGGTTTGTACCTGTTCGAGATGCTCGTTTCTATAGCTTCAGGGCTAGTTTGGGGACGAAACTGCTGGTTTGTACCTGTTCGAGATGTTCGT